TTTTTCTCCTGAGGGGTCCCAGACTGTGAGAGGGCACAGGCCGGGCTGAGGGACCCCCCTCCCTCCCGAGTGCACAAATTTTTGTGCACCGGGCCTCTAGTATATATATATATATATATCTGATTCAATTCCCTTGCTCATTACTGTGAGCGATTTTGACATGGTTGCAGGATATGCTATACCTTTTAAAAAAAAATACATTTTATTGATTTTTTACAGAGAGAAAGGGAGAGAGGGAGTTAGAAACATTGATCAGCTGCTTCCTGCACACCACCTACTGGGGATGTGCCTGCAACCAAGGTATATGCCCTTGACCAGAATTGAACTTGGGACCCTTCAGTCTGCAGGTCAACGCTCTATCCTCTGAGCCAGACTGGTTAGGGCTGTTATACCTTTTAAAGGACCAAATAGTTCTCCATCTTCCCAAAGATGTAACTGTTGAACCCCTAGGATTTATTTCCTAGAAAAAATAGTAATACTAATTACAGCAAATATGAACAATCTCCATTACTTTATCCATCTCCCTTCCCCAAAGTAGAATTATTTTCTGAAGACATTAACTGAAATGTCTGCAGAGAACTCAGGTAGCGAGTTGCGGGAACTGGTTTCCCAAGCAACACACTCTGCCTTCTTGTATTTAGGGCCCCTAAAGCATGGTTTCCTCACACCATTCCAAGACAAATTAAGTAAATTAGTGCCATCTACATATACTGAGCCTATGGGCAGCTTTACACTTCACTGAGAATGGGTAAGTAGGGACTAGCTGATGAGGAAAGCCCTGCCAGTGACTAGAAAGACCAAACTATATGAATATAGGAAAAGAAAGAAAAAGAAACATCCCAAACAAATAGAGCTAATACAGGGAACAAAGAGCACTTTTTTTGTGTGTGAAAAAAACAACCACCACCCACTATTTGTATTCTCAGAGATTCAAAATACATTGCTTTTGCTAAGCAAGAAAAGGGTTTTATAAGGAAAGAAAACAAGTAGAGACTAAGAAAGGCTGTTGAAATAAAAGATAATTGATGAAACAAAACAACCCAGTGAAGGGTTGGAAGATAAAATAGAAAAAAAAAATCTCCTAGACAAGAGAATAGCAATAATAGAGACAGAACATAGAGAAAAAACAAAAGACCTGGAGGATCAATGCATGATGTCCAATACATGACTAAAGGTGTCAATAAAAGAAAATAAGAGTGGAAGAAATTACTAGTATATATATAAAAAAGAAATACTGAGAATTTTCCAGAATT